TTAGTTTCATTCTGAAAAAATCTGAAACGGCTGCTCACTATAGTTTTTATCAGACAGGAGAAAACAGTGTGTGTTTCGGGAACTATTTTCAGCAGCAGATTTATTTATTGGTCAAGTGCACATCTGTGGCAGCAGGACGGTGTGTGTGGGACTAATTCCGAATCGCCTCCAGTGTGGGTTCATGGTGATGGGGAACATGTCAGCCAGTGCAGCAGTGTGGCCACTGGTGGGTTTACTGGTGTCTGGACCAGTGGAGCTCTGTGGCCCAGAGGGAGGAGGGAGATGTTAGCGGAGGCATTCATTGGTGGGTTGAGTCTGTGCAGGAGATTTAATGACAAGAAGAAAACATAGTTCAGGATGTCCTTTCCATTATTTGCTGATAATTAAAACTCCATTAATGAAGTGGCCCAATAAAAGCTAAAAGTCCAGAGCATGTTTCTCTTACTGGAAACACCAGCATGTGAAGGCGAGACCTGTTTAACCTGCCCTGATAGTCCCAGAAGGGCAGTGACACTGATGTGCTTCACGCCGGCCATGTCGGCTCACCTGCTCTCCTGCCACCTCCACAGAGACACCTTCCTGCGCAACCTGACAGCCGCACAGCGGGAGAAGAAGAGAAGAATTGAACAGCCCATAAGCCTGAGCCCAGAGCAGACAGCAGAGGAGGGCAGGGGTGTGCCGGTTGCAGAGCCGCCGTGTCATGGTAAATCTTTAGACTGTCACAGTGTTCAGGGGATTATTTACTGTTTGTGCAAAATCATCTGTAGATCTAAACAAACATCTAAAATCTGTGGCTGAATCTGGATAGAGTATAAAAATGATCAACACTTTATATTTCTCTGAAAATAAAAACAGAAATGTACATTAGCTCAGCCCAATGTTTTCCCTGTGTGTGTGTGTGTGTGTGTGTGTGTGTGTGTGTGTGTGTGTGTGTGTGTGTGTGGTCCCAGTTTCCAGCAGCGAGGACTCAAACAGACTCTCAGACTCCCAGAATGACCCAGGTAAGCCACCAATTACCCACAGTCCTTCTCTCTCTGTCTTTGTGATTCCACCTGCAGTGTTGACTTAGCCCTGTCCAGGGTCAGCGAAGTGAGTGGAGCTGCTGCTGGTGGATGTCAGGTGATCTACTGCATCACCCACCAGAGTCTGAACAACACCCTAAACAGAGCAAAGGCAGACTGGACTGCTCATCACTGGACAAAATGATGTGACAGGCTGCCTCTTCAGCCAGAAGGAGGTGCTCAGACAGAGACATGATCAGTCATTTTAGGCCCAGTGGACCTGGATCCACAGACGGATACAAAGTCCAGAATTTAATGGGCAGAGTGACACAGGCTGCGTCCTGTCTCTGCTTTGATCTCTTGTGTCCGAGGAGGGGGAGCACAGTGACGTCACAGGCTCTGGCTTCACTGTCAGAAGATCAATAATGCATTTATGTTAGTCTAATACATAACATAGGATAAAGTTGGTTATTGTGCTTTCCATAAAAATGCTAATCAGCAAAGCACAATGGTTATTTGTAATATCTCCTTGTAGAATATTAAATGTAAATAAAAATGGTCTCCATGCAGTCACCAGGATTTTTTTTTTTTTGTGAATGGAGCGTCCTGTTTAAAAATATGGAAAGAAATGAGAGGCTTCTCGACACAATTTAAATGTTCACTAAGAATACACTATACCGAATGCGGCTATTTGAGATGAACTGTGCAGCCTGGTGTTTCAGTTACAGCCCCAGCATACTAACACTGAGCTGCTGGTTTTAACCCGAGGGACGTGAACCAGTGTGTCTGCTAACATGTGACCACATCTGTGTGCAGCCTCGTCTGTGCAGCATCAGCACAGCACACTGTCCAACGGCAAGAAGTTTCTGCTGATCATGCTCTACTCCAAGAGCAGTACTGCTGCACCTGACCCCGCTGAAGAGGAAGGCGGCTCTGTGCTCGGTGAGAGAGCCACACCTCTGTACTGCAGAACATCAGCAGGAGGTGGAAGTGAGTCGTACTGCTGCCAGAGCCACTCGGCAGAAGTCTTCCAGCCCCTCGGTCAATGAGTGCAACAGAAGAACGCATGCTGTTTCCTACATCTTGTCTCTGGACAGACGGTTACCCACTCACCCAAAATGTTAGTCAGTGTTAAAAATGCCTCATCCTGCATTTTCAACACTGAGAAAGCACTGTGCTTTGGGAGAAGTCGTCCCTGATGCTGCTGTAGCTCTTTCTCCACCTGCTCAGCAGATTCTCAGTCTGCTGCAGCTGCTCCACAGCTCTGCAGCAAAGCTTTCATCACAGCCTCAGCATAAATCAAATCCTAAATCAGGGTTCCAGTTTTAGCTCCAGTGAGTCCTGCTCACTCTCACTGAAGTTGGATTTAACAATTTAGCTTTAGATATTGAGTTCTCACATGACCATGGCGGGTTGTTGACCTCTGACGTCTGGGAGAGTGATGTGGTTTTTATTTCCTCCACTCCAGTTTCAGCAGATCCTTACTAGTCACATTTCTGAAAAACATCTTAAATCCTTTGAAAACATTTTCTTTGATTTTGAGAGTATAGCACCAGTTCACACCAACAATCACCTCAGGACGCTTTCCATAATAAGGTTTAGACTGTACAGTGTCATAGAGACAAACCCAACAAAACAACAGAGAGTGAGACCTCTGTGCTTCCTCCTCAGGTGGGGGGGATCCAGCTGCTCAGGGACATGTGTTGAAGCATCTGTCCAGCTTCAAAGCGCATCCAGTGGAGCCCTCGAGCCAAAGCGAGAGCAGCGCCTCCCGCAGGGCGGAGCTGGAGGGACTGGAGGGCTCCGCCCAGGCAGCCATGGCCCGACTAGCTGAAGAGAAACAGGTCGGTTTATTAGGTACAGAGAGGTGCTTCTGTTATTCAGCCTCACTTCTCTTATATAAATGATGTGGACAAAATATTAGGAACACCTGTCAGTACAGTAGATGATCACACAGTCAGCACGTCTGTGAAACGGTGTGAACGCAAACATTTGAATTTACTGCAGGACTAGATTTTAACTGACAGCTGCTTTCTGTTTTCTTTCAGTGGGACGTTAGAGTTAATGACTAAATTACTGTTTAGATGAAGTAAATGTTTGTCTGGAGTAACTGCCACCATTCTCTGTGTGAGCAGACGTCTCTGTGTTGTGATGGTTAACAGCCAGATTTTGTTAAAGCTTTTAGAAAAAATTTGCTCCGATGTTACATCTGCTTAATCTCGAGGTCAGAGGTCATTAGGGTCACAGCTGAGAGCTGCAGTTCTTCATCTGGATTCAGAAACATTCAGAGGGAGAACTGCCTGTTCTTGTCTACAGCATGTCTCAGCTGGAACTACTGTGGTGACCAGATGACAGATAGTGTAATGGAGGTTTAATGTAGTCTGGAGAAGGTGACCAGCAGGATTATGCATTTCCTCTGACCTCTCCAGTGTTGGTGGTGGAGTTGGAATGCAGCTGTGGTGGTTGTTGAGCTTGGTTTTCCTCTTTCTGGACATGTGTTTACCTTTGCTTTGGGTAAATACACAGCACTTGTATGAAATGATGCTGTAGAACTTGATGCACTGATGAACTCAGACAACGTCTATATAAACTGTCTGAACCTGCACCTTTAGAACCGCCACATCCGGCAGCAAGGCAGCATTGACGTGGAGAGCCATGCCCGCCGTCTGGAGACCACCCAGATGACCCCTTTGGGCCCCGGGGGCGCCGCTAACGCCTGGAACCAGCTGCAGCCAAAGGCTGCCGCCCTGCGCATCAAGGACCTGGACTTCTCTGACCTGCTGGACGAGGAAGATATCGACGTCTTGGACAATAACACCTTCAACTCTGCCCCCACCTGCTTCTCTGGCATCCCTCCCCCTCCTCCTCCACCCCCAGGCCAGAAGATGGTGAGGTTGTTCTGGAAGGAGCTGAAGCAGGGAGATGGACCTCATAAGTGCCGCTTCGGTCGGGGCACAGTGTGGGCATCTCTGGACAAGGTGGCTGTGGACACCAGCCGCCTCGAACACCTGTTTGAGTCTAAAGCCAAGGACCTGCCTGCCGCCAAGGTAACCAGGCCTGTGTTGCACAAGTCTGAGCAGCAGTGGAGTTAAGCATGTAAAGTTTGTTCTGAGTGTTGTGCTAGAAGATCGCTCATGGGATCAGGGTTCAGCCTGTGGAGAGCAGCAGGGAGGGCATGAGACCAGTTGGTGGTTGAGATGTCAGCAGACTGACCAGTGTTTTTCGGACAGGTGTATTCAGTGTCGTGTCGGGCACTGGTTCAGCAAACTACTTCTACTTTGTGTTTAGCTTTATGCAGGAAGTAGAACAGATTTATAGTCAGTGGACCGCGTTACGCCCGGACCTCTGTCATCCGAGCAGAGTCACACCATGTCACATGATAATAAGACATGTTAACATTATTATGTCATACTCACAAACCAACAAGTAGATTAATGTTCGTCTGTTTAAAAAAAAAAACTACTGTAAACGCTGTCACCTGGTAGGAAAAGTGAAGTTTGCATTCACATCACGAACCATTCCTTTTGAATGTTGTCAGCCCATTAAATGGCTGTTGTTTTCAGGGCGTTAGTCGTGGGTCAGTAGGTGCTACTCCACCTCCTCGTGGGCTGTCTGGGTTAAAATTACGACTGTTAAAGCAGCAACATTGAAACTGACAGCGGCTGTTTCCTGCATTTTGTCGTCCACGTTCCACCCTGACCTCGTCTCCACCATGGACATATTGCTCTTTATGCACCATCACCAAGACTATCACCAGTCTGGGGGGTGCGATGGACATTTAAGAGAAAGGTTTTTTTTTACAGAGGCTGTGATGTAGCAAATGCATAACTAAGGACAAAACGGGTTTAGCTAAATTATTAAATAACTCCGTGATAAGTTTCTCTAGAATCTATCCACATACTGTGCTCAGAATGTCCTCCTGCACGCTCGGGACTGAGACGAATGGACACCCATTTGTCTGGACCTCATACATGAGCACAGTCTGAGAAATTAAACAAAGAGACCGCATCAAAAACATTTATAAGGCACGTGGTCCGGGCTGGCCTGGCATGCTGGGAACTAAAAGGAAACCATCCAAAAATGGATGATAGTGGTCAAAATAACCCAAAGCGAACATTGTGAGATTGACACTGAGCAACACTTATCAGTAGGTTACCAGTCACTGCTCAGCTGACTCCGATCAGAGCAAAGCCACACTGAGCCCGACAGCTTCGTTAACATCATGTGTCTGAATCTGCAGAGAGGATCTGAGATGAAAAAGCCAGTGATTCTGGTTCTGGACCCCAAGAGGAGCAACGCCATCAACATTGGTATGACTGTCCTGCCGGCCATCCACGTCATCAAGACCGCCATCCTCAACTTTGATGAGTTTGCCATCAGCAAGGAGGGGATAGAGGTAAAGTCCACTTCCTGTCCTCGTGGTCTTGGTGGGGGGTAGCTCCTTTGAGGTCTTGGATAATAAATTATTTCTGTTTGTCGGACACGTTGGTATGTCATCTCTCGTAGTTGAGCATCATTCAGGTGGAGCCAGTGATTATTTAACCAGAGT